GTCTGCGCGACTTTGATCAAACCTGGTTTTCGATGACTTTTGCAGAAGTCTCAGATTTACACCTGGGATGGGAAAATGCCTGTGCGCTGGAAGAAAATGGAGAATTTCAAGCTGGAGCTGCCAAGAGATACACTTCTAAGTGTAGAGATTGTCCAAGAACTAAAGGGCGAGGTGAGAGAATGGACTAAAACTCTGTGACAGACTCAGGTTTTCTTATCACTTATTATTCTGATCCTCTTGGACTCAAATTTTCTGTTTAAACATTTTTTAAGGTATCGACCTTTTACAGCTAGCCTCAATCAGAATGCGTGACTTGCATTGCGGTTTATGTGCAGCTGAGTAGGATGCTTTCTGAGCTGTGTTACGCTCTCCCTTTGGTCCTCAGGGCAAAGCTCAGCGCAGAATCAGCGCAGTTCATGTAATGGATGTGCTAATACTGAACGGCACTGATGTAAGAGATCAGCACTTCAATCAGCGGTGAGACATTTTTATCCACTAGCTTAAAAATGGGTCTTTGTATGAGAAAAAAGTAGAAAATCATTAAAAAGACTAGTAATGTATTCCCTGTATATTCAGTTTTATATTGTAATAGTTTCAGATAATCTTCGTTGTGTCTGCTAAATGATGTTTGTTATGTTTCCAGGATCCAGATGGCTGACAAGTTTGTGAAGGCGGTGGCTAAACCCAGCAGACCAGACATGAACCCCATCAGGTACTCCCATCTGCCTTCTTTTAATTTTATTTTCTTACTAACTAAATATTAGTTTATGCAATCTCACATGGTTTATAATACTTAAAAATACTGCTTCCAAGTACTGCTGTGGTAGTTGTGATCGAACGCTGAGCAGAAATCTTACTTGCAGTTTGGTAAATTACAAAGATTACAAAGCATCTTTTTTCCCCCCAGAGTGAAGGAGGTTTACAGGCTGGAAGAAATGGAGAAAATCTTTGTCAGGTATGGGAAGAGAACCCTTTGAGTAGCTGCCGTGTATATTTACTACTGCAGCTTCTTAGATTTGTCCTGTTTTTCAAGATCAAGGCTCCTTTTATGGCGCTTGTCAGAAAAACTTGTCATTTCCTTCCCCACCCAGACTAGAGATGAAAGTGACAAAGAGCTCAGGAGGTGTCCCACGTCTGTCCTACACAGGCAGAGATGACAGACACTTCCTTCCCACGGGCCTCTACATCATCAAGACTGTCAATGGTCTGTATGTTGTGATTTGTTTTAACTGCGAGCACAAACAATGCTGCGAGCAAAATGTCTTTATTTATTTATTAGTAAGTAAATAAATGCGGGATTTCTTTTCTCCTCCACCATTCAGAGCCGTGGACGATGGCGTGCAGCAAAAACTCCAAGATGAAGTTCTTTTATAATAAAACAACCAAGGAGTCGACCTATGCAATGCCACCGAACTCTGCTGCTCCTTTCCAGTATGTAGCGTCCTCTTAATTTCTCTCTTTATTCCAGAGATTCACATTTGAAAAAGTTCATATGCTTTTTAAAATAAAAATAATAAGTGAATGTAAATATTTTAAGATCTCATAAGTAGGGCTGTTCGATATAACGATATATATCAGATAACGATAAAAAAATGTCTATCGTTTCATTTTACGCTATCGTTTGTTTTGTGGTGTCGCAAAATAAACTGTTTATGGCAATATTTTTTTTATTGTTTTGATGGTCACTGTAGAATTTCTTAAAGTTCTCTCTTTCTCTTATATTTAGTAACCACATTTAGTAATAACCACACTACGGATGGACAAGCGACTGTTTTTATGCGTTGTCATTAGCAACAATGATCATGTGGCTCCGCCGTCCGCTTGTTTACTTTCCACATAAATCTTTCACAGTAAAGCTGAAATTCCTGTTGAGATTTTTCAAAATAAACTGAATCACGTGACAGATGAGCAGCCAAAAAGAGCCGTCAGGTGCTAAAAAATAAACCTTAGAACAGGCTTTTCCCCGAAGCACGCCGTGTAATAAATACTCACGAAGAAAATTGCGGCTGTTTCAACTTATGTAACACTCGACTCCAGGTACACGGCACCCAGCTGAAAACATTTCACGCAAGTCGAGTTGCCTGAGATTCACAGAATTAGCTGAAAATGTAAACTTTTTGTGATATATATCGTTGTCGGGACGATAAATGTCTTCTATCGGGAAATTAGATTTTGGTCATATCGCACAGCCCTACTCATTAGCTCATGTTTTATTCACAATAGAACACAGGAAACGTGTTAAACAGCATTTAAGCTGTTTCACTATTTCATGGAAAATATTGACAAATTCTTTTCCTTGCAGCGTGTGCCACTCCGAGCGGCTCTTCTGGGCCTGGGTGGATGGCGTTATAGTTCATGATTCTCAAACCAGAGTGGACCCTGAGAAACTGTCCAAAGATGACGTGCTGGACTTCATACACCAGCATTACCAGCCCTGAAAGACTCCCAGTCACAGGGCTTTGTCAGCTGCAGACTGTACACAAAGTGCGCTGGATTGTGAAGCCTTGGCAAAGAGTACAATCCAGTTCACTAATCGTCATTTCATTTAACAATCAAAGGATGGTTATTAAAATGACTTTACAGCTGATTGTTTTTATGAATCCGTTGCTTACTGTCTTGTTAAATATCAATAAACTGCTTTATGACCCTTTGGAAGGTACCTCCATGTTATCTTGTTATCAGGTTGGAGTTGTTTGCTGCTGTTTTTAGCAGTGGCATGTCCTCGTAAAACTGACGTTTGACAGACCGGTCTATTTTTCAGTCTTTTCCACTTCCTTTGACTCGACCTTTGATTTTGAATTGTAATGAGTAGCATTGCCTTATAGGACAACATGGAGACAAAGGTGTTTGCTGTGCCCTATAGATTCAGTTTCTCCAGTTCCTCCTCAATGCCACTCTTGTTTTTGTGCACACTGCATTAGCAGTGATAGATAGGGTCACAAGGTCAAACTGTGAATCCACATCTGTAATTATTCTTTCTTCTCACCATGACTGGTCTTCTAAAGAAAACACACGGGTCTGTTTGCCTCATCTTTACACTAACAGTGTCGCGGTGCTTTCCTTTGCAAAACTGTGTAGCATGTAAATCATCCTTTAAGTCGTTCTCACAGTCATTTCAACGTGCATTCAGAGATGGAGCAGCTCTCTCCTTTCCACGCTTCTCTGTCATCTAGACTGTGGGAGTGAAGTTTGGAAGGTGTCCCCTTTAGTTTTGAGGTTGTTTGTACCCCACCTGCTCTTTAAAATTGTGCCTCCATATCTTCTAGTTGTGTGTCTGGTTTTTGTTTTGTTTTTTTTAATGCTGCAAATGAGTTATTTTTCTGGTGTAAATTTAGCTTTCAATCTCTTTGATGTAAATATTAATAAGTAAATAAATGGGAGATGCTGTTCCCACAATATATGTTCAACTGCCTGGTGATATTGGGTGGAGACAGTAGTTGGAGTAAAGGCTGGATTAAGCTGTTAGAAGGCAACGGGTGTGCTCATATACCAACCAAATTACACAAGTGCACACAACATTTTGTAGCTTAGTTGTTTTGCTCACAGCTTTAGAAATGTGGTCAGGCTGTGGGAATTTGTTATTGTAGATTCAGTAAAACCCAATTTGAGCCCAGTATAAGAGAAATAAAGCTTTGGGAATACTCATCTGTTCACTCTGGAAGCATGAACCATTATGAATCTATTTCACCTGCTGTGTAAGTACAGGCATTAACAAGTGCAGGTCAACCCTCAAGGAAAAGCAGTGGTTTTGCAGGTGGTTGCCACAGAACTTGCCTTCTCCTGTTTTTCAGCAGAGTCTCAAGAGCTGCACGGTGCTGGTCTGTGAGCACTGGCCCCACTAAAGGATGGCAGAAGCTCATGCTGGTCCTTGTTGAGTCTGTTTCTGATAGTTTGGTCAGTAACACACAGGTGAGTAGCCTGCTGGACGTCATTGTGCAGGCCTCCAGCAGTGTTCCTCCTTGCACAATGGACCTGCTGGGTTGATGTTCAGCATATCAGGTCTATCCATAGATTCCTCCACTATGGTCCACTGGTATCTCTGGATGTGCCTTCATAATAATAAAAGATCTGATCCTCTGGGTCATTTATTCCACATTAACTTTCTGAATCCTTTCAGTTTCACTGGCAACTCATAAGATTGAGAGTCACTTCTATTAACAGCAAATTGTCCTCACAGTTCTGCTGCTTTTTACACATTACACAAGAGAAACATTGTCTTTTACTCTTTTACCTTCAACTCTGAACACAATAAAATCTTATTTCACTGGAATTTTCCAGGCACGTTATCATTTCATTATCTTACATCAAAATAATACATCCCAACCAATTAGAGTAGAAGGTTATTATAGATTACTAAAAGTAGATGTGAAAATTGTTGCTGTTAAACTGAAATTAAAATAAAATTGGATGTAAAACCTGTACTGAAATAAATGTATACAGGAAAACTTATGAGTTATGAAAGAAATAATCAAACAGATGCAAAGTTTCAGTAACTGGTTTAAAAATCTATATATTTCTAGTAGAAGAATTGTTGTAAATGACTTCATATATAATTGATTTGTCATGATAAAAAGTCTACATGATGTTAAGCAGAAATTGCAACAAATAAAACATAGTTCTATAAAAACTTTGTAAGTGGCTAGAAAGGACTGAGCTGATTACAATGTAGAGCACAGTATGTATAATAATAAGGACAAGGATACTTTCAAAACAGGTCATTTCTTTATTTTACATAAACCCTTTTATAAAGCCTGTTGACCACAGCCTGTATACTAATATAAGCAAAGACATTAGACATTAAATAACACACAAACACACACGGAAATCACTTTTTGGTACGAAAGGATGTACACATTCATGCCAAACCGGTTTAAATTCAAGCTGAAGTTGAACTTTCCAAGAGAAGGCTTGTATTTACTCGGGGCGTGTCCTATTGTGACAAGACAATCGGTCCGCCAATCAAAATGCGCATTTATGTAACAGGAAGAGATGTTACGAAAACAAGCGCTCCTAACAGCACACACCTTGTTCGCCCAGACATCGGTTACCAAACACTCGAGTTGACTGGTAATTATGTCTTTTTCTATCTTTATATGTTATTATTTTACTGTAAAAAAAATAATTTTGCTGTGTTTTGATAAAAAGCTACACGTCCACCGAAATAAGAAAAAAAAGCGATTGCATTTGTAGGAAGTTGTTGAATAACCTAAGATGCGCGGTTTTACATTATTGTTTAACTTTGCAGCGGCTGGAAAGCTGAGTTTGCTTCTGTCTTATCCTTGGAAAAGGAGGTTTGGATCATCAGTCATGCTGAAAGCTGTGGGACAAGTGTTGTTCTCAACTGGTCTGCAGAATCCGAAATTCACTGCAGAGGAGAAAAAGGTAAGTGCTCTGCAGTTTAGCTCATAAAACAGAATATTGGACCTTGTCCCCACTGTCACGGGACAACAGGGTGGTGTGCATTAAATGAGTGCTTGATGTTCAGTTGACAGCAGAAGAAACCACAGTAAACTTGGTTAAACTATTAACCCCTGTGTCGTGTGTGCACTGCGTTATGCATATTTCCACTTTTTGATTTTTTAGTTCTTGTGATGCTGAATTTATCCAGTAGATCATCCAGATGTTTGTGCTAAATATAAACAAGAATAAAGACCAATTCGAGAAAGTCTTGTCTGATATAAGATTTGTAACTGATTAACGGCCCTTTTTTTGTTGCATTATTAATTTCATAACGAGCTAAATATTTTCAAGTGGTGAAATGTGTGAACTGCAGGCAGGTCAGTTCACACCCAGACTCTTCTGTAATGAAGCTGTGCTATTGTAATAGCACAGCTTCATAATAGCACGTATACAGCTGGCATCATCTGGATGCCAGCTGTATACGCTGGATAAGCTGTATGTGTTATTCTAAAACCTGTATATACAGCGGGGGTGGAACTACAGGAGGGGCAGACAAAAGAAATGTCTGACAACAGAAATTTTCCATTTTGCTTTAGTGCATTTTAAATGAACGTTGGCCCAGAGAAGAAGGTAGTGTTTCTGGATCATGTTTCATATATATATTCATGGATAGTGAACCGTGTTCATAGACAGTGATTTATGGAAGGGCTCCTGAGTCCATGCAGTGATTTCCATGACAGACTCGTGCCTGTTTTTAAAGCAATGCTGCCCGAGAGCACAAACCTCACAAGAATCCAGAATTGATTTTGGGGCCTTTTCTCGTGCGCATGGAGATTTCTCCAGATTCTGAGATTTTTTTGATATTATGTATTGTAGATGATGAGATATTTAAAGTCTTAGATGTTCTTTTTATTCTGTGTCATGTTACTGATGTGCTGACAGTTAACCTAATTAGTGCAAAATTTTCCTCCAGATGTTACTTTTTAACACCACCAACACCACCTTGAAACATGTTGCAGCCATCAAATTCAAAATGAGCCAATGTTTTTCTTAAAAGTTTTATATTTTCTTAGTTTCAGCATTTGATATATTTTTTCTGTTCTATTGTAATGAAAATATGCTTTTATGAGTTTTGCAAATCATTGTGTTATGTTTGCTGTGTGAAATTTTCACACAGCAATTTTTTTCACACAACTCCAGTTTTCTAGATTTGTGGCTAAATGAGTCATATTTTTGTTGTAACACACATTTGAAGAAAAAATGGGATTGTCTTTTTCACAGTTTCGAGGTATTTTGTATACATAATCTTGGATATTTTTTAAAATTGCTCATTAATAATCAATTGTCATCCTCATTGTGCGCCTGTGTGTGGCAGGGACAGGACTATGAAATCCGCACCTACCAGCCCACTAAGTGGGTGAGCACCTCTGTGAGCGGGATGCAGCTGGAAGCAGCCTTGTCTACTGGCTTCCGTAGACTCTTCAACTACATCCAAGGCAACAATAAAAACAGTGAGTTTCATGTTACTGCTATCACCTTCACGCAAGGTAAGCTGAGCCTGTGTTGCTGAGGCTGTGCGAGTTTTATTTTGTGGCGCTGTGGCAAATCTGTTACAAAACCTACACGTCACAATGGCAGTATTTTAATGTTGCACAATAAATTTACAGAGAACTGGGGTTCCAAGGCATCAATGGATGGAAAAGTCGGAGAAAGTGCACTTTCGTTCCTGCTCAGCACTTTGCAACAGTTCCTCCTGTCTTACTTTTGCCTTGCTCAGCAGTTTGCAGCAATATTTATGAGAATATATATTGTTTGTGTTGCTGGCTCCTGAGGTCAGCAGCATAAGGAGATTGTGATCTGTAAACATGGCGTTTAATCCCATTCATCTGGCGCACATCGTGGTTACAGCCCAACCATCTGTACAGCTGTCACCATTCACCAAAGTTTCGATTCACCAGCTGGTGACTGATAGTTCGTTTAGGAAATTTAACATCTGTAAATCTTACACAAGCTGGTTATATTTCAGCCCTATTATCATCATCATCATCATGTTTGGCATGTGCGGCTACTCTTTCTTTTCAACAAAAGAACCTCCTTTCTTGCTGGTTCTATAGAGGCCAAAGTGGAGATGACGGCCCCCGTGACGTGCTACGTGAAACCCGGGGCCGGCCCTGCATGTGAATCTCAGTTCACCGTATCCTTCTACATCCCAGAGGAGCATCAGGCCACTCCACCCGAGCCCAACGAGCCCGAGGTGTTTATAGAGCACAGGAAGGAGTTGACGGTGTATGTCAGGTAGGGTACAAACAGAGCCGCCAGGTTAGACTTTGGATTGTTTATTTTGTGAAAGTCCAAAACAAATACAGTGATCAGCCATGAGTGGTTTAGTTTTTTTTTTCTTTAAAAAAAAAGAAGAAGAAAGAAATCAATCTTTTGTCTATTCCTCCAGGACATACGGTGGTTTCTCCAATGATAACATGAAGCGTGAAGAGCTGCTGAAGCTTATGGAAAGTCTGAAGAGGGATGGAGTCCAATACATCGAGAAACCGTACTACGTAGCCGGGTACGACAGCCCTTTCAAACTGACCAACCGCAGGAATGAGGTTTGGATCCTCAAGAACGAAGAGGAGCAGTAGAGCGTTCCTGGGTCACTCTATCCTATCAAAATGTTAGTGAAGGGAATTTAAATGTGATGATTTGATACATTTCTGTTTGACCAGAAACAAAGGTTAGATTTGTTACTTACACTAAAAGTTACTGATTACTCACTGAAAAACTTGATAAGGAGACTAATTACACGACAACTAGAGGTCCTGTCGGCCATGTGAAGCAATATAACCAGCAGGTGGAGCCAAGTAGTCAAGAAAATGTTTCTTATGTTAACGGAAAACCCCACAAGTACGTCTTAATTAAAAAAAAAATATATTTTTTTAATGAATATTTTCAAAATACACTAATTTTAGGCTTTTGATTGTGCATGTTGCTAACCTCCTTTTTCACAGCAGATGTTTGCGCCTGACAGGGCAGGGACAGCACCCATGTGACTGATAACATTCACAGTGTGAGCCGGGTCCAGGGGGGGCAGTGTAGGCTGGCTCACTGTGGGAGCACACTGTGTACCTTTCCTGTGTGCGACGGACACGAAGCTTCTTGCTTTTCATTTACACTCCCACACTAGCAGGTGAGAGCAGCCACGTGTCACTCAGGCGACGCTGCTTAGATTTGCCGTGTCATCAGATGTTTCCATCAACAAAGATCTGTTTAAGTCATGCTGACACCATAAATATATCTATTTTAGGATCACTGGCTGCACTCAGAATATGTGAGACTTTCAAAAGTAAACCAGAATATATATATATATATATAGTCTTTCCTGCAGGTCTTGTTGGAAGACTTAGTGAAAACAGTTAACCCATAATCATGAAACACAATTTCAAACAAACAGTTTCAGCTGCTTTTTCCTGCAACGTCAAGTCGAAGCCTTTGCTGTGAAAAATGTTCAAATAACATGGCAACTAACTGCTACTTGTTTACACTCGCATATTGATGTGACAGGACTGTGTGTAGGAAACAAAGAAAGCAAAGGAAATGTTCGTAGTTGGGTTTTTAAGTCAGTCCTAAAATAATACTAGTGCCTTTATGGACATTAAAACACAGATAAATCCAGTCATCGCTGTGTGTAAAAGTGCAGTCTGACGGCTATTAGATGCAACTGTGAGGCTTTGTCAGTTAGAGTTACGTGAATCAGCAGTCAAAATGGGGGGAAAAAATAGTTTTTTGCAGTTTAGTGAGGACTCGCAGTCCATAAAAAAAATAAATAAATAAATCTACACACAAATTATCAGTGCATCTAAAAGTGCAGAAGCCTCATATTTGTTTTCACTGAACTTTGGAGTATAATATTTGCACACGCCACGAGTTCAGCCTGTGAAAATGTGTCTCCTGGTACTTGGATTTGAGTCGCATTAAGAAAGGGATCGCATCAAATCCATTATGACCAGAGGGATCAAGTGCAAGGGATTAAGCATTAAACATATTTTGACTTTGTAGATCAGCTGCACAGTTTAGCAGAAGGTTTGTGTTGTCAGTCAGCTCTGGGAAGGTGACTCTGCCTGGCAAGCGGCCGAGCGTCGGTAAATCTCAGTTTATCTGCTCTCAGGCCTCACTTACTGCCACTGCGACCGCATATGCATCCATTGTGATGAATGGCTGGGCCCGTCGCAACACGTCTCATAAGCTGTCATTTTTGTCAATGAATATAAATGTGTGTTTAACCAGCTTTGTGCTCAATTGCTCAGACTGACCATTTTTGGTTTAATATTGACAGAGAGCTAATAAAAATGTGCCTTTTTTCTTTTATATCTTCATATAATCATTAAGTGTGTGTGTGTGTGTGTGTGTGTGTGTGTGTGTGTGTGTGTGTGTGTGTGTGTGTGTGTGTGTGTGTGTGTGTGTGTGTGTGTGTGTGTGTGTGTGTGTGTGTGTTTGTGTGTGTGTGTGTGTTTATTACTCATAGTAGTACTCGGATGAAGAATGATGGCACGAGCAATGCACTGATAAGAATATTGGGAAATTTGAAAGTTTACATAATGTAAATTGTCTTATCTAATCAATAACTCATGATTAAACCATTATTCGGATCATAAATGTGCGTTTAAGTATTTGTCATTTGTATTTCCTGCTGGACTTTTTCAGTCACAGATTCCAGTTTCACGTGTTCAGTAACAGATAAAATCTGGATCGTCCTCGGCGCTCGTATCGATCGTTTGTCAGCCGCGGCTCACTTCGCCCTTCCTCACCTCACCTCACGTCTCCTCTCGCGCCCTCGTCGCTCTCAGCCCGATGTCTGCTGAGTCACTCATTTTATTTGTGGCAGAATTGTTCCCAATATCATGTTCACACACTCAGCAGAAATTATGTATTTTTTTTATCCTCTGTTCATGCATACACACACACGCATATTGATCTCGTTGGCCGTGCTCAGCAAAGCGAAACATGCTGTGGAGGGGATCGGTATAATGAGGCTCACTGTTTTAATCTAAACACCACAGTTTTGTATTTTAATTTTATCTCCTCCCCTCCAGCCTGGCGGAGACTAGAGCTGATGATGTGAAAGTACTTTCATTTTCTGGTGAGATTAACTGGAGAAATTTACTGTTCAGTATGGACGCAACAGAAACTGTGTGGATGTAGTATTCATATCTCATAATGCACATGTAAGAACTCTTTGTCTTTGAGATTAATATAACTCCTGCCATTCATTAACTATAGTACTTTGGCTCAGCTGACTGGTGAATGAATGCTAGAGTTTAACACAGTTCAGACAGAAACACCTAAACACCAGTATTGGAAAGGTTTGGGTGAAGGGAGTTTACATAGCTGCTGTAAGTGGGTCCCCAAAAACTGTTTTCTTCTGTGGTTTAAGCCCTTATGAGTTAAAGTGGATAAACTAAGTATTTAGCTTGATTAAAACACTTTCTTCTACTATAAAACTTTTTTTTAATAGCATTCTTGTTGGAATCTTTAAATACTTTCACATTGTAAAATTTTATGCCCTCCAAATCAGTCCATCCACCTTTCTTTCACTTATCCAGATTTGAGAAGGTGCTGGAGTCTATCCCAGCTGTCATATGACGAAAGGTGGGGGTACACACATAGGTCTAACACATTCAGTCACACCTATGGTCAGTTTAGACTAACCAAATTACCCAACATGCACGTCTTTGGATTGTGATGAAGCCAGAGTAACCGGAGAGAACACGCTCCAACAACTCCACACAGAAAGGTCCCAACCTGGATTTGAATCCATGTGAAAATTATTAGCATGAAAACGGTGGTTAGCACTATTGCCTCACAGCAAGAAGGTCCTGGTTTGATTCCCCCATCTGACCGGAGTCTTTCTGTGTGGAATCAAGTGCAAAAAAGCTAGATGTTTAATAAGTGAAGCAGCACTCTGTTCTCCAGCCTAAACACATGTGGTTACTATTCCTGGCCTCCCTGCGATCAGCCCTGCTTTATTTGCCATGACTTATAAACACTCTCCATTGAGTGGTCTTGAATGTAAAAAGACGGGGGGAAGCGGTGAAGTGTCAATAGTGTGATTATAGCTGCGGGGAGTTCATATTGATTCCTGTCTCACAGCCAGATGGACGCTGCGTCAGAGGGCAGGTGGCTGCTGAATCAGAGGTGACGGGGCTTCATTTAAAATACTAAGACACTGTCTGCGTTTCTGTTCCCCTGAGAAGACTGACGGGCCAGTGGCGCAATGGTATTTATAGGTGTCTCTCTGCAGGACGTTGATGCAGGAATATTGAGAAGTTGCAGCGTCCTGTCTGGATGGCTCAGCGCTAACTGGGAGTCACGCGAGAGGCTCTAACCTAGTGTGTCCTAATAGGATGTCCAGAAGGAATATAAGTGATGACCCCTGCAGAAGGAGCAGGGTGAATAATGGGAGTTTTCCAGATGACGGACGAGTGTGGGTGCCATGGCGACGGCGCTAATGAGGCTGTGATTTGGGGTGTTGAGCAGGCAGATGGCCGTGAATCTCTCACACGCACACACACACACACACACACACGCACACACACACACACACACACACACACACACACAGAGAAATGACACAGAGATGCGTTCTTTAAATATCACCTTGTTTTTATTACACAGACATACACGAGAGCGTTAGCAGCCTGCCTTCAGCTCCACTCCCACTACTTCTTCTGTCCTCTCTGTCTTTTCACAAGCACAGATGCTTTCAGGAGCGCTCAATCACAGCCTGGTGGGCTCTGGGAGACACATTATTTGGTCACAGGTGATTAACACACAGGCTGTTATGGCTGTTAGGAGGTTATGAAGTCTCACGACTGTCACCACGTTTATTCAGCCGTGAGCACCAGTGTGGCATGACTTCAGATTAAAGGCTGGTTAAAATTGATATAATCTTTTTGATGCGTCTTTAACAGAATAACGGCTCGCTGGGGTCAGCCAGCTAAATGTGGCTTTTTGATTTCTCTGGTTAACCCCTAACCTCTCTTTCCTGTGCCTCAACCACCCGTCAGCTGACTCTGACCAGTTAAACCATACCGACGCCCTCCTATGTGAAAATAAATAATCTACGAAAAAGGAAACCACTCCCTTTCAGCAAACAGAGGGTTCTAAAAAAAATGTACAAAGTCTTTGAAAATAGGTCAAGTGTGACTTAAAACTCAATTCTCTATTTATTTACATATAGAACCATATAAAACTGCAAAAGGATAAACAGAAAGGTCAACAGCATTATAGAAATTATTTAGAAATCTGCCCCCACAGGGTCTGGTGGATCTTCTCGGAGCGTATGCACGGGGGTGTCAGACTATCGGATTGCTGTCACGTCCAACTCCGTTTCATTTTTCAAGCTCTTTGGTAACCCACACGATCACTAAAAGATAATAAAATATTCTTTTACTCTAATGTTATCATTTCTTACTTAACTTCCAAACACGTGACATGACATGATGTAATTGGTTTATTAAAACATTTTTTTTTAATTCACCAAGAAAAAAAAACTGTGCACAGTGCAAATTCTACAAACTAACTTTTATGAGCCTTTTCAGAGAGTAATTTTGATGTTTTGGTTGAACCTTCGTATCCCCCAACAATTTTTCCACACTGTTCCCTGTCACTAGGTGGCAGCACTGAGCCCTCTGCACTTCCTATGGACCCCTGAACACACCAGCTCTGCAAACTAAAACCACCGATCAAAGAGTGGTAACCGTAGGTGAAGTTGTACCGCGGAGCCACCTGCTGTACCACGTCCTCGCGCCCGTTCCACATATTGATTGGCTGTTTGAAGCCGACACTTGCAAGCCACGGTGCTCTCAAACACTTCCCACAGCCAGCAGAGGAAAAGCAGAAACTGAAAACAGGCGAGCCTCCCGCACACTTTTACATTCCACTCTCTCCTAGCTACGTAGCACCACAGCAGCAAAGTTAAGCGAACAGTCAGTGACTTCTCCATTCCTTCAATTCACTTAAGTTTGCCATCTTAACTTTTAGTCCTTTGGTGAAACTAAAAGGACTCCTGCGGGATGAAGTTAGAAAAAAAAAAAAAAAAAAAGGCAAACAAAACTAGGAACACCAGGTCTAAAAGAAACACTATTCTTTGAACAAAAAAAGGTGAATCACCAAACGAAGGAAAGAATGAGAATCATGGCAGTCTTAAAAAGCTGGAGCAGGTCCACTTCTCTGCTTCAGACTGCGCTCTGTCCGGTCCGTGATGGAGCTGCATCCAGGTCCCGCATCAGGACCAGACATGTCCACTCCCTCAGAGGGGCGGGGGTGGAGCTCAGGAAGGTGTCTCTAGAGGGCCTTGTGTTGGGCTCCTCTTCCAGCTCCCTGCCTGGTTACAACGAATAAGTTCAGCTCCCCAAAGCTAAGGGGCGGCTCCTGCTCTTTTAACTTCTGCTTTCTTCGGATAAAGTGCCATTGGAGTCTTTGAGCACAGGGACAGCCTGAGCTGCTGGCTGAGACAGACTTTCTGCCGTGTCTCCGTACTCGCTCTCAGCCAGTTCCCCGTCCCGCTCGCAGATTACTGTCATCGGGCTGCTGAGGATTCGGCTGCGGGCGTTGTACTTGCTGCTGGCAGCTGAGGGCGGCGTCCGAGAGCGCCCGTACTTAAATCCGCCCATTGAAAAGGGCGACGAAGTCGGCGAGGACAGGGTAAAGACATCATAACGGCCCCGCTCGTCAGCTGCCCTCTTACCCCGGCCCGGGGAACCGGCCGGGCTGTGCAGGGCCATCGGTGAGGAGGGAGAAGCAGTGGGGGAGTCCAGCGCCGATTCGGAGCGCGTTCGCTGGGAGCGTGGGTCAGTGGAACGAAGCATTTCGGCAGCAGACATCCTGAAACTGGTCTCAGAGCGGCTTCCCTTTTTCAGGAGAAGTGCCTTGAAGGTGTCGCTGCTGGTTGAGGACTTGCGGAGATTGCGCTGGATGGATCCCGACTGACGGGGCAACGACGACGTCATCCCTGGAGACAGGCTCGTCGGGGTGGTGGGTGGAGATTGCGAGTGGCTCCCAGGCCGGGTCTTGTCTTCCTCGGACTCCTTGCGACCCAGGACCTTGCGCTTTGACCTGTGGAAGAAAAGATGATTTTAAAATAGTCTTGAGGAATTCTGCTGAGTGAGCGAGCGGAAGCACGGCTGATCAAATTATTTTAGGGCAAATAAATGCTGACTCGACAGAGCAAAATACAGGACTAAGTTACTGGGGCAGTGTTGTCAGGGAGCAATGAGCTCAGATTTAACTATTCATCCACGGGATTTCACACATGTAAGCCCACTCTTTTTGATGTTTGTGCTGCAGCTTAAAAAAAAAGATTACATTTAAAACTCTGCTGCCCACGTTCCACAAATCTTTGTCCCAAATTTGCCATATGTCAGCACTGCCCCCAGCAAACAAACATGGCGGTGTATCTCGGAAACAAACCAGGGCTAAGGAGCAGAAGAAGAAGAGTTACACATTTCAGGTTAAAAGAAATTCGGTGAGGTTTTACAGCAGAAGCTGCAGAAGCTGCAACGCTGCATGAAAGCTCAGACGCGGCACAAAACAAACTGAGGAAAGCGCCCAGAGCTGTTTTAATCACATGAGGACGAGGCGGCCTCCTCTCAGCAGGAGGCGGTTGGTGGTTGTTGTGGTCGGTATCAGCATAGTCTGCTGCACCACTCATCCTTGAGTGTTGATAACTCCTGCACCAAAGCATGGCAATAAAAGCTGCAACTGGCAGAATTAGGAGGCGTTAGGGCTTGAGGCGAAAACAGCCTTATTAATCCGTGTCTGTGATACCGGGGGTGGCGGGTTGCACCGAGGGATTACTGCTGCTAATCCCAAGGCAGCATCAGCGTGGCGGTGGTGAAAACAAGGCTCGCTAATTAAAGGAAAGGGGCTACTTGCCACTACGCACCTCTCTAGAAACACTGCACCCATTCCCTCTCTGCACAGTGGAAGAAGAGAGGAGAAACATGATTAACGGAATTACAACTACACATTCTGTGATAAGGGAGACAAAATTCTTTAATCCTCAGATTAGATCGTTGGAGGGAAATCTTCCCTAAAGGGCAAATAACCTGTGGGGATGTACAGCGCTGTGTGAAGGTCAAAAAAGTGCGAGGGAGGACTGAAGGGATGGAAATGGTTTGTGTGAGAATCTAACGCTGCAAAATATGTCTGTGCCCTAAATTCAACCTCCATCTAGCGTCATCCGCTGTGAGCTCCCTTTCCACATTAGCCCATCAGCATTACATAAGACTTTTCTCACGCACAATCCCACGTGCGTGCACATCCAAACAGAGAGCGCAGGTGCCAATCCCAGTTATAGAGGTAAACAAGGAGGCAATATAAGCATGGCTGCAATGGATCGATTTCTTTCTGCTGGCTGGATTACATTCGGTTTGGAGGATTTCTCTCACAACGAACTTGTGTTTTCGGCCGCTGCTGTGAAGGAATTTCAACTCGAGGCTTTTATTACTCTGATTTCACAGACAGTGAGAGAGAAAGGACGGGGGAACGTGAAGGTGAACGAAAATAAAAACAAAAAGAACTGGGCAGGTGGTATTACAGGGGTGTTACAGTTAATACCCGGTGCTTCCACCCTTGAACAGTTCTCGATTGAATTTACAGTTTAGGGCACTTTTTGCAGATTGAATTTGTGCTAGTTCATTCTTTTGTTTGAGGGATCTTCTTTAGTTTTAACAGCACCGCTGGGAAACGGTCATCACTTCCCAAATCTGCAAAATTATTCTATATCTCCCACGCTGTGAGGGTGCGATAGATGGAGGAGGAGGAGAGTGGTAAACAAATGCTGCCTTGACTACAAACGCACACACGCTTACACAATATTCACGTTTAATTAGGCAGCGCAATAAATGATACATGCACACGTGACGTGGGGACCATAAATACAGCAAAATGAAATCCTGGGACGCTTAAGAGAACTCCCCAATGCTGCTGCTGCTGCACGTGACCGCGAAACCCAAACTGGCGGGCTGCATGAGAAATTTATGCCTGTGCCGCCTTCAGTCACAAGAGCACGTATGCAGTATATGTCAGAGACGGCGGAGCGGCGTGTAGACGGAGAAACGGAGAATGAGAAATGTCTCCAGTGGCCTCTAACCCAGATTAGGACCAAGGGGTGTCGAGTAGTAAATTATGGATGAAGCAACAGCCTTTTTTCCCCTTCTTTCTTTTTTCTTGCTAAAAATGAGCAATTGTAATCTAACTACACTCACAAACGCTTAGTATACAAATTAACCATTGCCTTCATGCTTCACAGCCCTTCACTGGCCAGAGATCGGCTTTCTGACAGATGTGTACTCTTCTGTATGGGATAATGCTGGATAAAGTTATGACTGAGAGGTGGAGGGCAGAGAGTGGGGGATGACTGAAAAACACAAATCAAGGGTGACACTGTGGTTTATGAGGATGTTGGAAAAGCAGGAATGACAGAGAGGGCAGGTGGAGAGGAAAGAAAAGTAGGAATAATAGGAAGCAGGACTAGATCGGGGAAATAAATTATGTATCCAGAGCCGAGGTGGGTGAGGAGAAAATAAGTTGCTGTGGTGCTCTAAAAATGAGCAGGGCGAAAAGGACATTAGACGAGTGCATCGTCGTACCTGTGAATGGCGGCGAAGAGGTCCTCTGTGGTTCGGGGTCGCGTGGGAGTCGGGGTTACCATGCTCTTCTCGGACGCCCCGTTTGCTGACGGGGCTGGAGACGACTCGGCCGTACTGGATTCAAAGACGTCACCTGAGGTCAGGGGGGATATACAATTTACATCCAACACAGTCAGGAGAGAGCAGACTTTTAGGGAGCACACACTCCTACATCCATCCTGTCGCATTAACCTGGCCGCCTATGAAATCTGAAGTCGTACGGAGGAGATGTCCAACTGTCTCCTTACATTTTCTTCCCTCTCTAGATATTCCTCTTCTTTCATTTCCTCTAGTTTAGCTTTTTCCCCCCTCCTCCTCCTCCTCTTCCTCTTAACCTCCGCGCTCACGTCTGAGCTTCGACTGCCTGAGCCGCTGCAGGCAGTCTCACTTTACGCTCTCCCCATCCTCCCCTTCATCCCCTTACCAGATCCGTTCCCCTCCCCTCCGATACGACCGGGCCCCTCCCCCCTGTCCCTCCAACCACATAAAGCATCTCCTTTGGGATACTTACCCCCCTTCCCTTAACTCAGAGAGGGAGTGGGACAGAAGGACAGCTGAGTAGGAAAAACACGGGCTGAGCGATTAACACAAAAAGAGAGAGAGAGAGCAAGAGAAAAGGCAGAGGGGCAAAAATGAATATTTGGACAGAAGAGAAGGATGGATGGTGGAGAGGACTCGAGTAGACAGCGGAGGCTGAGGTGTGTGTACGTGTGCAGCAATGCGGGAGGGGGGACAAAAAAAAGAAGGGGGACAGCAGCCAAAAGAGATCTCCGCATACAAAATATAGAAGGAGGAGTAGAATAAAGAGTAAGCGGGATGATTGCACGAGGCTGCAGAGCTGCTGTCCCAGTGATAAGCCGTCGCTCCCGCTTCGTTTTCACACTTTTCAAACCTTTAAAAGCTTCTGCCTTCAAGTTTAGCTCGCTTGCTTAGGGGCAAAATAAATTTTACAGCAGCTCAAAGGAACCCATTGCACAACCCTCAGTCTGCTGGATCACTTCTAACCTCTTAGGATTTTGGCAAATAAGTACATTAAGGCTTTCTGCTTCCGTTTCTGCATTTCTGCGTTTGTTTTGTGGAAACATATTCAGTAAACTACGAGTCAGACTCACCTGCCTCGTCGTCCTTGGAGCTGATGGACCCTGTGGTGCTGCTCGTCCCATCACAGTCCTCTTCCTCTTCTTCATCAGCCTCTCCGTTGGTATAAAGCCCAGAGGCATTACTCGTCTCCTTGCTAACAGATGTAGTGATACAAGACTCGTATCGGGTTTCAGTGAATGCTCCTTTGCGCTCTGCTAAATGCTCTAAAGTGTCTTCTCTCTCCTCCTGATGCTCACCGTCCCCCTCTTTCACCTCTTCTTTTGTTTGTCTTCGCGGAGAATCTACTTGGTCTTCTGTTTGGGGGATGTTAGTCTCTTCCTGCTGAGATGGAAACAGTTTATTTATTGTTTGGGGGCTTACTGGTGGGACAAGGGAAAATTTGGGCTTCTTGGAGACTGCTGGGGGTGGGGCCTTCTGCTTGATGGGAGAGCTTTCGTGGCTCTGTGCGGGACTGGGCAATGCTAGTGCCTCCTCTTTTTCATTCCCATTCACAAGTGTGTAACTCTCATCATCAGCTTTTCCATTTACGATGGCAATGTCCGGTGAGTCCTCTGTGATGCTGTCATCCAGTGACAACTCTTCCAGGAGCTTTGACACAGGCGATGGTGAGGAATAATGGGAATCCGCTTCCAGAGAGCTGTTCAAAAGGGGTAAGACAGTGGGATGCTCCTGAGAGTAACAGCTATCCAGGCTCAGAGGCTTTAGCCCCTGAAGGAGGTCCATCCCTGTTTTCTCAGCTTTGTTGTCATCTGTGATCTCCTTCTCTGGTCGCTTGACTGAACGAAGCTGAACGCTCTGAAGTGCAAATGGTGTGATGAGGGGCTTAGGTGAGTTTGTGGGACTGTTAGAAGGAGCTTCTTTAGGAGCATCATTTAGTGCCTTCTTAAAAGATGGGGAGGAGGAAGCTGTAACAGTAGCCAGCAGAGGAGGAGGAGGAGGTGGGGGTGGTGGAGGAGGAGGGGGACTGAAGCTCCCATTGGGAGATGAACTCGGGTGAATCAGCATCTCGGGGGATGGAGGTGGAGGGAATTCCGGGGAGGTGGAGCAAGTAGAGTTCAGGCTTAGAGAACCTCCCTGGGGAGTGGTTGGCAATGGGGGAGCTGGTGGAGGAGTCAGGGAAGCTGTGCTAGAGCTTGGTGGTAGAGGGGGAGGGAAGGGTGGAGGTGGGCTGAGAGGGGTGTTGGGAGTTGAGGAGGAGGAGAAGAGGAGAGGTGGTGGTGGAGGAGGAGGACCGTTGCTCTTAAGTGAGTCTGAAGTGTTGGAGGAAAGGGAGGTAGAAGAGGAGGACATGGAAACTGATGAGAGGAGAGAGGACTTCCTCTCGGGGACTTTGGGTTTTGGCCGGCCGCCCGAGGGAGACATGGACCTGGCGAAGGCGGGCACTGGGGTTCCAGCTGTGGGAGTGTTGGACTGGCTGGAGTAGCCACTAGATGGCGAGGTGAGTCTATGCACCCGGTCTGGGGAGGAGGTGGAAGCTTTGGGCTTCGCCGACACCTCTCGCTCCTGACCTGGAGCTCCAGGGATCTGACTTTTGTGAATCCCTCCTCCATTCTGTAAGACTCCTGGGTGAACGCCGACTGACATGTTATCTGCGGCATGGGCTGGGGGTGTCTGCTCCCCCTGGTCCGAGTTGTTACGAGGGTAGTCCATGTAGTAGCCCCAAGAGTCGGCGTAGTCAGAGCGCAGGCTGCTGGTGTCACTGTGGGCAGGTGTCACATGGCATAGAGAGTACACACTAGACACGCCGCCGCAGTTTGCGTTAGCTGCTAGTGATGCTGCGGAGCTGCCTGCACTGATGCTGCTGTGACTGCGCGGCCTGAGGACCCAAGGGTCATCATAATCGCTGCTTGGGCTGTGAGAGGTTGATGATGGCGACGCACCCTTTCCCTTCCCTCCTCTCAACCCCATCTGCAGGCTCTGCTGCAAGCTTGCAATTAGAGTTTCATTAAGTGTCGTACCCCTTTCCCCATTAGCACCGTTGATGGCGCTAACGCCTCCGGGGGGCATTTTTGCAGCTGGCTTGCGTCTGAGAGAATCCGTGCGAGCTGGTGGCAGGGGAGGCTTCTTGGATTTGCGTAGGGAGATGCTGCGTGACAGCGAGCGGTCACTGTACAGGCTTCCAGAGTCCTCCTGATTGGCCATCTCGCGGCACTCGTACATGCTGTGTCTGGTGGCCCGGCCAGCTGCCACCCCGTGCCCGCTACCGTGACTGCGCGAGCGCAGGCCTGAGTCCAGGTGCATAGAGGTGTAGTATCCATCATTGTCCTGGGAGTAAAGAGAGCTGGAATCAGTAGTGGTCCTAGAGGACTGATCCAGGCTGCCATAGAGCTGGTTGATTGGAGTGGAGCAACTGGAGGTCAGAGTGCGGTGTGGAGCCACCACGTTTTCTGGTGTGTCGTAGATCCAGTTCTCCTCCGGCAGACAAGATGGTGGAGTGGGGGCCAAGGTGCTGTGGCTGTGGGTGCTACTGTCAGAGTGACCTGACTCACTGGCAGGTGCTCTGACTTTCAGGCCACTATCCTGTGCTGTGTGAGTAGGAGTAGACGTGGCCAAGGCAGGGCAGGTGGAGCTGTGGGTGAAGGCTGCTGGACTAGAGATCAGCGGGTCAGCATTAGTTGGGGAAGCCAGACTGAGCGCTCGAGCTGCGGGGTAAGCTGAGACCGGGGACTGGGTGAGCTGGCTCGAGGTGTTAAGGGTAATAACCTCAGCAGAACTGGACATGGTGGCATTGGGGATGAACGAGGTGGAATAAGCAGCATGAGGGGAAACCACACATGCCGGACCCCCGCCCCACTCACTGGACAGTGTCCCCTTCAACTCCTGGGACTTGGGCCTGGGCAAAGTTCCTGTCCTCGGGGCGTTTCTCATGTGTACCACAGTATCGTCGACCTGAAGCTTTCCAATTTGCCTCTGCAGATGTTCCTCTGACTTGATGGGCGTGCTGCTATAGATGGGATCGGCACTGAGGGACACTCTTGCGCCCTGTCGGGGCAGACTGTGAAAACGCGACGGGTCTCCATTAAAATGCTGCGGCAGCATCAGTATTCCAGAGCTGTTGCTGCTGGAGATGGATATACTTCCTGTTGAAGAGGAAGCGGATATGCCAGCCATCTGAGCAGCGATTCCCTGTCCTCTCTGTGCTCGAATTCTTCTCATGGACGGGGGCACGATCTTTACTTCTTCTGTCTGACAGCTCGAGTCTCTGGTCACCGAACGTCGGAGAGTTGAGTTGACACTCCCAGTACGGCCAAGTGTGGAGTACTGTCCAGGGAGGAACATAGAATGTGGCCGGAGATCTCCGCCGTGTCCTTTTGCTGTTGTCAAAAAAAAAAAGAAAAAGAAAAAAGAAACATATCAACATGTGATTCCTCTTCCTGCTACCCCACCTTCACCCCCCCCCCCCCCCCTTGCTATAACTTCTTCAGCCACAAACCTTTCTGCTCTTCTGGCTGGAATGTCAGATAAACTGTGGTCACATGGAAGCTAATTAATTTGATTTGGCGTAACCTGATTTACGTTAATAACTTCTGGTCTTCTTCATTATGGAGAAAAGGATATGAGGAGAGACAGAGAGAAGGAATAGAGGCTCTGCTACTACGCTTCTCCTACGCTGGCTACATCAGATAGAAAAATGAAGTAGTCTCCTTGGGTGCCAGGATAGGCAGCTGGTTAAGCATTAGGCAGAGAAACCCCCCCCCAAAAAAAACACAAATAGGAACACAGACATACAAGAAGACACGTGTGCATGCCAAGCCAGCCCTGTCATGCACAAGGACAAACATAAAATGCACATAACAGAAAGATGCACACTGAACATACCAGCTAATAAACAAACAGTTTGAAGATTGAGTCGTAAAACGAGAGAGGATGTCTACTGTGTCTCCCATCTGTGGTGGCGTCTACTGTTGATGCTCGTCTTCCAAAACATACACACTCTTGCGTCCTTTCTTCTCTCTCTCTCTCTCTCCATTCGCTCTGAACCACACATACACTCTCCTCCTCCTTTGCTAAAAGCTGGACTGACAGCTCGGCTGTTGCTGCTGCGATAGATTAAGCTGCAGGTCTACTTTGCAGGCAGCTCTGGTGCAAGGAGAGGGGAGGGATGGAGCACTGGGACAATTATCCCGGCCCAGTAATCATGACATTCAGAGGGTGTTGTCAGCTGGGCACTAACCAGACTTTAAAGCTCTTTTCCTATCAGCCTGGGCGATGTTATCGCACAGAGCAATGACATTTCCCTTAAATGGTGCTGTCATCCCGAAGCTCAATGACGTGTAAATAAACATTAGCCATGCGGTGCTGTCAGCAGAACACTGTGTCAGATTAGTGAGCTTAGTACTCGCTTAACACTGGGCTCAGCTGAGTAACTCTGAGGGGACCTCAGCATCTTTACATTTCTAATGTAGGACAGGATGATAATGCTCAGAAAGAGCATGTGAAGGTGGCTTATCGACCTGAGATCAGGGCTTGTTGTCTCATAGATAGTTTATTAATAATCTTATGCTACCAGCATACACTATACAGATATACACAGAGATATACACACATCACAGACAAAAGGACTTCAGAAAGTTGATCCAAATGATCAACCAATCAGAAGCAAAGTCTGACGTTACCTTCTACCATATGACAGAACTGGCAAACTCTGCTGTTATGTTAGAAGTTTTTTAAGCAGTATAACAAAAAGACAAGAAAAACAACAGAACTACAAAAAATGATTTCATAACTTGTTCTTGGCTGCAGATCCTCGGGTGGAGGAGAGTGAATGAGGACAAATGATAATGTAGACATCAGCTGTAGCAGCTGCACATCCTTTATCCAACACTGTGAGCTCACTTGAGTCAGTCTGACCCTCCTGGGCTCGCCAAGTTTCTAACTGTACACAGTTATGTGTGATAAAAGCATAAACCTATAGAGAACAAGTAGGGCTGCCACGATTTGTCGACTAGTCACGATTACGTCGACTATCAAAATCGTCGACGACTGATTTAATAGTCGACGTGTCGTTTGAAGCTTTGTAAGATCGCAAAAGACGCAGGAATAATAGCAGAATTTAAGAGTGTAATAACGGACTGAAACAGAAGATGGCAGCACAGCATGTACAAGGATGCCAGCTGCCGTTAAACCCCGAAGAAGAAGAAGCAACTGTGTCCCAGAATTCATAGCGCGGCCCAGCTTAGTTTCCAACAATGGCGGTAGCTAGTTAGTTTTAATGTTACTCTTATTATTCTTTCTGGGTCACAAAATAAACGTTTAACATATTTTCAGGCGAGAATGTAGCTGTGTAAACCTCAAATATCGGCTCAGTTTATCAGGACACCACATATTTTCAAAAGCGCTCCGACGTTTTCGGAGACGTCTGTTACCCACTAGCTCGATAGCTAGCCGGGGGCTAGGTCACTAGCGCCGTGAGAACACCGGACTCCCGGCAAATTGTTTTCAAACCCACCGCCGTCTTTCGCGACTCAGGTTAAATATATATGAGTCACTTAGATAAATTAAAAATGTTGTTGTTTGGCTTTTTTTTTTTAGTATTTTATTTGTTCCTGAGTAAATCGGTTTGGCTGAGATTAAAGTTATAGTTTTTACACAGCTGAATAAACGTCAAGCAGACAGCTGATTATCAGAAGTGTGAGATGCTGGAGAATATACTCAGGTGTCCTGTTATATTTTAGATAGCAAGGAGTTTATTAAACTTTACCGAAACAATCTGCAAATTTCATTAAAATTGAATAAACTATCATCTTGTCTTTATTTTTAGTTAGCACCTTAAAAGCTTAAAGCTGTAAGCTAATGATAGTTATATAAGAGCAGATGCTGCTGGTGCAATAAGCTGTAGTTTTACGTCCAGTGATGGTTGCTGCATTTTATTTTTGAAGGACTTTTTGTTTATTTTGGATGATGATGATGATCTGATTAGTCGACTAATCGCATAAATAATCGGTGACTAGTCGACTATCAAAATAATCGTTTGTGGCAGCCCTAAGAACAAGGTTGCTGGCAGTAAAGAAAGGAAGAAGAGATGCTTGTCTAGCGTGTTGGGACAGGTCTGTGGACAGCAGAGGGCAACATGTAGCTCCACAGTGATCCATACCTAGCTCCAGGTTGATGTTGTCAGGCAGCCCTGATATAGTCTTTCTGCGTTTGACCTTCTTGGGCCGGCGGGACACGGTGTCAGTGTTAATGAGGGAGCGCCGGATGCTCGCCTGTCGGTCAAACACTGCCCCTGGTAGCCGGGAGGGCGAGAGCAAGGCAGGCGGACAAACAGGCAAACAGCAGTCGGTTAGTCAGAAGGAACAAACTCAACAGACATGCGGAGGGTTTTTGTTTTTTCCAAGTTGGACATGCAACGTCAACAGGGCAGGAAATATTAAGGTCAGTTCAACCAAATTACAAATCAGCATTTTCTTTCCTTGCTTTTATTTTAAGTCTCAAACTGATTTGTGCTTCTAAAAACTTAAGATTTTAGTTTTTATTTATTTTTAAGGATGAATGCATTGCTTTTTTTTTTTTTTTTTAAAGGATGATATTACTCAAGAGTGTCTTTGAGGATTTCTGTTATATTTATATTAAGGTGCAAAATCACATACTGGAAACCCCTCGTGTGGAACCGGAGACTGTTCTAAACAAATAATAAATGAGAATATAGCAAAATATGACAGGAGACGTCACAAGTGTAAGTACAGACTACAACACCTATTCCCCTTATCAAGTTAATATGATAAGAGAGGCACCTGAATTTTAACTTTATTTATTTTCATATTTATTTATTAGAGACATTATGTTATATTTTGTATTAATATTATATAATTTAATTTGTACTTTAATTGGTTAGTTACTGTCTTGTAGCAAATGTGAACAAAATTTCCTCTGGGATTAACAAGTTATTTGATTCTGATTCTTCTGATTCAATTCCTGAGAAATGCTAAATATTAAATACCTAAAATCGTTCTTATGTCTGGATATCCAACATATCCAAACTACTAACTGGACTTGAAAAAAAGTCTGCATTTTTCTGAACTAAAGCTGGATTCAAATAGAAAGGTTTAACACTTTCTAGTTAAGTATGATTATGCTCAGTGGTGGGATAAGAGTGATCCACAAAAACATGTTGTGCAGCAAGCATGTGAATCTTCCTCTTCAACACGAGAAAGTTTAGCCTAATTGAGAAAATGCATTGTGTTATTTGGGTGAACTGAACTTTTTCACCAACCAGCCAAAGTGTCTTTTACAACCCACGGAGAGAAAATGGTTGTGATGCCAATCAAAAACAAAAGGAAGGGGTCTGACAAAGAAAACCTTGGCTGGCCTTTATGCAAACTTCCATTACGGGGTATAAACATACATTGATGTAAGATGTGTGAGATGAGAAGTACATGCTCTTACCACAAAGCTCAACATGCGAAAGGACAGATATGGGATGAAAGGTGCTTTCAAACTCACACACGTACTCATGCAAACATGAACTGCTTCTCAATAATCTCCTCGCTCTGAGTCCGGTTTCCCTGAAGGAAGAGTGATATGTCGCTATGAACTGCTGCTCTTTCTGCTATCTCACTAGCTGGTGACAGCCTGCAGGCGTCAGGGAAATAGAAACCGATATAAGGGCGGATAGCTGCGATCACAAATTCCTCCCAAAGTGGCAAAGCCCCTGATCTCTCGGTGGGTGTTTTACTCCTTTTTTCCCACTAATTTGAAGTGACAACACTGATTTGTGTGGCGAGGGACCACGTTAAATGCTAATTAGTGTCAAAAGGCTGTAGATTGCATATATATTAACTGTAACAATAAAATATAGATGTTGATGCTGAACTGAGAGTTATATATAATATTCTGTAACTCTGTAACTTCTGTCGGTGCTGTGCTTTTTTGGAAATCGAATTTCCCAGAGGAACCCACCCGAGGGATTAATAAAGTTCTATCTTATCTTATCTTATCTTATCTTATCTTATCTTATCTGCGAGTCCATCCCACCGCTGGACTCCTTCCAAAAGAATCTCATGAACAAATCTTAAGATAAGTGTACCTATGAGTGGCGGAAAACCTTGAAAGATGTGGCGCGCTAACAGGGGAACTGAGTTGACACAAATTTGCTGTGTACGAGTGTTTATCTGTCAAACAGCCAGTGATCTGACACAAAGACGATGAAAAGCCTTGACCCTGGCATAAGCTGTCAAAGGACTTTCAGGCATAAACACACGCTCACGCATGCATAAAGGAAGGCAAAGGTCAGTCTGCAAGAGGCATGATGAGAGGAGTGAAGGTAACATAGAGAAGGAAGACATGGTTGAGTGCCACGTGCAAGTTTGACCCCATCTGTGGATGACTGGATACAGTTCTCTATTATTCTGCAATCACTCATTCACAGAAGGTTGATTAAAGGAAATATGTGACTTTTTTTTCTTTTTTGTAAACAGAAACAGTGAAAACTAATTAAACTAATAAACTGAAATGCAAATTTCTCATGACATGTCAGCATGCTGACACTCTCTTTATCATCGGATACCTCAATCAAACTGCTAAAAAAGTCAGAAATTTCCCTTAATAGCAAAAGGCCTGTCAGTGAGATGGTAATGCAAAATAAGAGACACCAGGGACGAATGAGGCCGATTAAACTGTACAAAAATGGAGCTACGGATGGATCGGGACATTGGTTCTCAACCTGGCGATGAAGAATGGTTGCTACTTGCTAGCAGTTGAGAGACGGACTGAATGAAGTCATGAGGTGTGACATACCTGTGACATTGATGGCAACTATGTCTGTGGGTACGGCCTGAGCTGCCCGCCTCATCTTCTCCTCTGGGGTGGGGAGGAGGGCAGCCTTGTTCCATACCACCTGTCCGTCAGGGTCGGACCCCTCCCCTCCTTCGCCCATGCCCTGTGGCGTCTGAGACCTCATGGAGAGCTGAGATTTGTCATCCTCCAGCGATGAAGCGGTGGACTGATTGAGAGAAAGATAACATGTTAATGAGGGGTAAAGCTGAAGAAAGAAATACTAGAAAGAGAGGAAAGGAAAGAAACAAGGAAAGAGGTAACATGATGCGACACAATGAAAGGCAATACATAAAAATAGCATCAGATCGAAGCATAAAAGTTATTACTAAGAATAAATGTCTATATAACGGTATAAAAGGTGAGTGGAAATAAATATCATAGGATTTACTAGTCAGAACCATAAATGACAGATTGTGCCAATATGAGCTGAACAAACTTTAATATATTACACTGCTGTGACCTTTAGAAGCTTGCGGCCCCGTAAACATCCTATCCAATGGAAACGGTCAACCATGCACACACAATCACACAAATAAACACCCGCCACAGAGAACTGACAGAGCAGTCGGAGATTGGAGGATAAAAGCTACAGAGCAACAGTGGGGAGAGACACAGAGAGAGAATCACTCATGCAGTAAACTGTGCTGACACGTTAAGGGCCCTGGATTGTGAATTTACGGCAGAAAGCAACAGACAGCGGTGCTTTACCCCAGTGTCCAGGCTTGAAGTTGAGCAGTTAGTCCAGTGCATGGCAGCAATGTTGTTTAGGTTGATGTGAGTGCCATTTGTGTCACTTTTTCCAAATGATTCTAAATTGTAGTAATTATAGGTAGTTACAAAATCCAGATGATTGCCACCAATTACTACTGCATCACTCAAACTTTTCCTATCCCCTGACTGAGAGTGCATTCATACAAACAATGCACGGATGGATGGGTAAATATGGGGGGCAGCAAAAAGGGGAGGTGAAGAGAGGGGATGTATATAAAAACATCTCAGCAATAGTTTGGTTCCAAGCATGGCTTATTACTTTGCATAGCTGTGGCTCAAGCGGGAGCCCTGTTTCTTCTTTAGAAGCTGCTGTCAGGCAAAGTTAGGCTCAGCGGTCTCAGTACAACAGGAAGTGATGGGGAAGAGAGCAGGAGGGGGACAAACAGCAGAACAGTGGAAGAAGTGGCAAGGAAGGCAGGGCAGAGGGGGATTGGCTTGAGCTGAAGAGATGGGGTGAGTGTGCAGAAAACAGGAGGACAAATAAGAGATGGGAGGCGACAGTTTAGAAAGACAACATGGAAGTCAGGGGTCAAAGCGAGGATGAAACCGAGGGGCTCCAAGGGACAACACAGTGAAAGACCCACTAACCCTTTTGAGTGCCCTTCACATCACACTGTGTGTGTGTTCGAAATAAAAACGAGAAGATGAGAAATATGCAGCTTTCTGACCATTTACGCTTCACTTCACACAAATTGTCTGTCACATGAAAAGAGCAAGAAATAATAGTTTTTGTCTCGGATTCATTTTCTTGTCAATTTTTTTCTGCCCGTCTTTATTTCTGCCTCAAATTTCTGTTTCTCTTCTTTAGTTTCTTTCTTGAAGTGTTTATAGACATCAGAAAAATCACAGGCCCCACAACTGTGGTCAACAAGTGTGCATTTCTTCTACAATGCTCTGCAAATGTTTAGAGGAACCCCTTGCTTAGTTATATTTTTTCTGGGAAAAATATCAAGATGATCCCACACTGTTTCAATAATACGGAGGTCTTGGCTCATGACATGACTTTCAGATTTTGTTCATCTGCTGTAAATTCTCTTTTTCTGCCACTTCTACTTCTCCAGTATCCTCACACCATGGTGAAATATGCCAAGTACTTTATCTCTGTGTTATCTTTCATATTTTTCATAGATTCAACAAACGACTTGGAAATAATTATGTATTTATGTATTAGCAAAGTTCTCTGTTATGTGAACACAGGCTTGGTGTCTTTTTAAATGCGTGAATGATTCACAGGTCAGAGTGACTGGGCTGGAATGAAAACAAGTAAAAAAGCAGCCAATTTCCTGAGAAAACCTTTGAAAAACCTTCAGAAACTATTGCTCAAGACCACTTCAAAAAAATTACAAGAAAGTCTGGCGCCTTAGGAAAAAAAATAAAGAAATGATGGATGGCTCAAGACTTTTGCCCAGTACTGATCACGCTCACCTTATTTGAGAAATTAGACAGAAAAATGGAAAGACCGAAAGCTACACAATGTGACAAGACTGAAACTTGGTAGCACTTCTTTTTCCAGCCACTAGAGGGGAGCCTAACACCATTTAAATTATTGTGCACGTGTTCTGCACCTGTATGCAAATAGAATGCAGAGCCTGTTGTACCTGCTACATTTGAAAGCATACATTAAATTAGGTGGGTATACATGCATACTGTGATTATGTATACCTTCTTATCATTTTCATCATCCCCGTCATCCTGCAGGCTGCTGGTGGACTGAATGGGGTCAGAGAAGGTGGGACCCTGAGAGTAGTACTGGGAGCTCCGGAAACCATCTTTCCTCAACTTGTCACATTCTGAAGAACAAAGAAAGAGACAGAGAAACAGGTCTTAAACTTATTTGCTTTGGTGGCCTTTGATGAGAACTTTCTGATCCTGCTGAAAGGTGCAATTTTCACATAATGAAAGCGACATTTTATTTCGCACTATTTAAATACACTCAATACAAAGCTTTGCTTCACTCATTTCCATGAATATACTACCAAATAATCCAAACAGATGCTATTAAATATTCAAACTTTCACCCCATAACACAACGATAAGAAGAATGTGTGAAATATTTATGGGACATAAACATAGTGTTGTATTATCAAATGTGTACTGTAGAATAAACCATTTGCTGTCTGTGTGTGTGTGTTTTCGCTAAGTTCCCTGCTGGACTCTGCCAAGCGTGCCTCACACCTCTTCTCGTCACCACCTGCCGTGATGAGGTTGTGATGTATGTACGTCAAAGTGAGATAAGACGGCAAGTGTGTGCGTGTGTGTAACCAGAGGAGGGGGGTATCAGCTTCAGTCTGTCACACACAGATGGCAGAAGCGTCCCTCTCTCTCGCTCTCTCATCCTCCCCCTTTTCCTCTCAGGGGGGAATCTAGCACATCATCTCCCTCTTCCTCTCCCTCTGCAAATATCTACTAATGCATCCTTTGTTTGGTCTTTAGGAGGCAATTAAATTCACATACTTCTTAAACATCCTCAGAAAAAAGCCTCAAGAGTTGTTCATGCTTTTACTGATGAAGGATGAAATGATCAAACACACTATGAGGTTGCAACCTTATTTAAAATAACCACAAAATCCAACTTCTACGCTTCTCCCTAAAATTAACGGCACTTTAAAATAAGCGTGTTTCTTTTTTGACATCTCATCTTTCTCTGTGATGTAATCCTGATCGATTCAAATGTAAAAACCCTTCTATAAATGACTGATTTTTTTAATCTTTCATCTTGGATATTTATTCAGTGTGTTTCGCAGGATCAAACTCCCTTTTGGTGAATTAAACATGCGTGCGTGCTCACATCACTGTTAGCCCGCCACCTAAAACATGCTGCTCCTGATCCCTTTTACATCCTGTTTATTTCCACTGCTAATTACAGCCCATCTCCACACAGAGGCACACTGATGCATGTATAATGCTGTCAGTAAATGGATCCTGATGGGGCTTGCGTGCGTGGATACTGTAACAACAAGTTGATGCGGTGAAACGGTGGAAGATGGGACTCAGAAAGCAATGATAATGAGGACGATGACGGGAAGTGGAACTGCTCAGATGATTGGTGTTGCATGATTGGGGACGGTAAATGAAATAAATAAGCTCTGATGAGCTAAGTGTGGCTTGTTGCTAGGCAGAACTGATAGGGGTGGGGGTGGGATAAGTAAGTGATATGAAAAGAAAAGCAGAAACTAGATGAGTCTCTCAGATACTTTTAACAGTGAAGGAAATCTTCTATTAAAAATGTGTTTTTCATTAGGTCTTAGTGACCCTGACCTTTGACCTGCGGACTTTAATTTGTGCCAGGTAAAGGTGTTATATTGTTTTCATGTGAATGGGCTAGATGCAGGTACAGATGTACAAAGAAAAAACCTAAAGACTGCATTCGTCCCACTGGTTTCACCACTAATGTGTCCCAATCTGAAGCTGATATAAATTGAAATAGAGGATAAAAAACACAAAGGTGCAACTGTCAGGGCTACATGTAAAGCTGTGACAGCTGCAGGGAACTGATGACGTTGATTCTGGAGTAGGTACTGATGATGGTGCATGACTATGATATGACTGACTTTTTTGGATGCAGGGGGAAAGTATTTAAACATTATTTTTCTTTCATTTCATCGTAAACACTGGCAAACAAAATGGATCCTGCAGTTATCACTCAATACCGTGTTATGCAACTTTAAAAATGTATTTCAGCCTGCTGGCACATTTTCAATAATCCACTAAACACACGCTGAAGCCCATGTGAGAGTTTTAGAAGGACAAAGAGGGGACGCACATTTCTATCCGACTGGATATCGATTATTAGGCTTTGCAAAGAATAAATCAGCCTCGTGGCATTGTGTAGTATATATGATTACAATACCCAGGGACTGATCCTCGTTTCACCTCCACATAAAACTTCTAAACTGTTAGTGTTGTGAGCGTAACGTTTACTTTTGTGATTTATTTGCTATTGAGTTTTACACTACCTTACCTTCCTTACGAAAAAATAATATATAATTCCTTATGAAACCCCAACAACTTTTATAAAGTGAATGCCATATACACTACACCAGGAGTGTCAAATATAAGGTCAGGGGGCCTGAATCGGCCTGGCAAAGACTCCGTCTGGCCCACTGGATGGCTTTGGAAAATAATGTAAATAAATGTTGGACTTTTAGCTGTTTTACAGCTTGTCCTCATGATGAAGACGTCCCCCATGGCCATATGGACTGAAAGTTCCTATCGGCAAGTTTTTGTCACTATGGACTTTAGAAATGTTTCTGAATATGGGTTTACAGTAAAATATAAATAAATAGTTTCAGGTTAGAAACATGGCTGCACTAACATACGTTTCCTCTGTTGGCTGAGATGTACAGCGCGAAGATCAGCCCGTAAAGACTTATCAATATACATTTGCATTCCCCTAATTAGACGTCTATAATCTATATCACAGACTGATTGATTATTGCCCTGTGAGATAATGGCACAAGCCTCATTAAATAAAAAAAGATCACATATAAAGTACAGTACTAAAAGAAAAAAGAAAAAAAAAGTCAAAGCTCACTGAAAGTCGGGTAAGCTCCGCTCTCCAACAAGGATAAAATCTAAAACCGTAAACGTTCTCTGCTTGTAAAGCGCACTGAGGCTTAAACAGACACCACAGGTGCTCGCTCACTGGACACCTGTTGTCTTGTCGTTAGGACCCCCGGGGATACGTGGTGTTGTCAGGTTGATAGGTTGGTGACAGGATGAGAGGGAGGGGGGCTGAATTAATCCCACCTACCAGGTGGTGTTTTAAGAACAGCAACAGTTCAGGGGTTTGAAAATTGGAAAAGACAGAAGACAAAACAGGGTGTGTGCATTAGAACCGGTGATTAACCCACTAACAGTAAGCATCAGCTTTCAAACACTTTCCAGTTTATCTCTCTTTCTGCCTTTTATCTCTGTGTCTAATCAGCTGACACACAAGGCCGGCCCTGGTGAGCATGCAAACAAATGTAGTACAGTCATACACTCAGTCCTACACAGAAACTCGGAAATATGTGATTTTTTTCCCCTAAACTGTTATCTGTGAAATGGTTGAGGGGCAGCTTTCCCAGGAACAGGTGCTGGTATTCCCACTTCCTGTTCCTGGGAAAGTTGTGACCAGTTGAACAAGTTGTCACTCTGCTGTGAGTTTCTGTTTGTCAGCAAAGCCTGAGCCTCTTCCCCCACTGAGCGGGACAAACAAGTCTGCGATGTCAGTTGAACACAACTCACAAGTCGGGACATCTTTTTTTGAGTTACAGGCAAATGTACCAGTGTCACGAGCTTACTCCGATAAAAGTGACGCCACCTACCAACAGTCCCATGAGTGAGATTCAACAGTTTGTAACTGGTTTGGCTCACATTCAGCATTTTCCCTTCGCTATTTGTGTAAATATATGCCATGTACATTTCTTCTTACTAAGATATTTTATTTACATATCTAACATTTTGGCTATCATCCCATCTAAAACTAATTCCTTCATATGTCGCTCCAGTGTGTGGTGTATAACGTGCTCTATTTTGATTTGTCTTTACCTCGCAGGGCAGTTTTGAGGTTGACTTTGGCCTGGCGGTGGAGGTCTTCTACGCAGGGCGGCCTGCTTCCCGGTAGGAAGACGTTCTCCTGCTGGTGCCACGGAGCTGTGTAGTGAACCGTCCACTTGCTCTCCTCATCCAGGTTAGACACCGCTGCAGAGGTAAACAAAGCAGATTAAGGATCGATATAGTTCCCTCTGCATGATATAACAAAAAACCTCTCCATGAAATCTGACATAAAAATGAAGGACAGCGAAAATAATAATGAACTAAGAACCGAAACATGTGTGGCCCTGCAAGTCTTCCAAAGAGCAGCATTGTTGGCCAACTTTAAAAAAAAAGTAAATAAAGAATAAAGTAATAAAGAAGTGGTGGAAAAATGTCCCCAAGTACTGACTATTCAAAGTGTTTCATTGTATTTGCAGATGAAAAGGAAGGGGAAGGAGGCTTAAGTGTTTTGCATGAAGGTGGCAGACTTAACAGCCTTCAATCAACACGACACTTATCTGTGACATCACACACATACAGTAGGCCTCACGAGTCAAGAGGGGGAGGGAGAAGCTTACTGGGACAAGTTGGAGGGAATCGCTGATCAGTCGATACCAACTCAAAAAACTCGTAACTACTGGCAACTGATTCCATTAAACCGCTTACCTAACTGTAAAAATCCTTCCTCGAAAAAAATAAAATATGACAAAGACACCGATACCAAACAGGCCACATTGCTGGGCACTTTGGAAGCTTACTATTAACAAAGAGGCTTTGAGGCTACACAAAATACACCACTGTTTAGATTGAAAGGACATTAATTAACAAGGTCAGGGAGAGGCACTTTTCATTATCCAAAACCCTTCTCTCAGTCATATCTGCTGATAAAGCGATCACATCTTTTCTGTCCCACTAGTCCAGTCCCAGAAACAGAAGCTCGATGAGGCCATCACAAGTCACTGTGTGAATAAAAATGCTGTCGAAATGTAACAAACACACACTCTTCCTAATTCTTAAGCTTACCAAGTGAGCGTATCCAAGCCAAAGTGGGTGATCGCGGATGTAAAACTATCTCCATCGACGGAGACAAAATGTAAGCAAAGACCTCTGAGTTTGTCCCTTTCTTTGCAAACACAACATGTCCAGCTGCCTGAGAGAACGGCTAAGTTTGTGAGAACCAGGAGGAAGGGGACGGATCATGGCAACGCCTGGGAGTGTTTTGCTTTAGGGTTTCTTTCACAGGTGCAAATGAGCTGAAGTGTGTTGGGGGGGCAACACACTTCAGCAAATGGGCCCTTAATGACAGTGTGACACGCTGCAACTGCTTTTATATATACATAACTGCTAATACATGCCAATAATGACCACGTCAAAAGCACTGTTCTGTTAATCACCTAAAAAGTACAGAGTGGGTGTAAGTGGATTATTTCCACTGTTGAAATAAGCCAAGTGCATACAACTTCAGGTTGTGACCAATTCCACCTTAATATCTCTACTGAATGCTTCTGATGCTCTGGTTCACACAAAGGCTGTCATTTTAACTCAAGTGCAAAAGGCCCAACTAACAAATCTCTAAATCATGTTTTTTGCTTTTATTTAAGCAGGAAGTTCCACTTTGATTTTATTTTGAAAGTTACGATCAGGTTTAGGCTGAATTGACACTTGATATCAATGCCAGATGTAGTTCTTCTCAGCTGTTTTTCATCCACTATGCTGTCATCTGTTTACAAAATAAGTTGCACTTTCCATGACGGTCATCCTTCTGCCTTTGCTGAATAGGCTTCATGTGGGGTGGGAAAGTTTTAATGACGTAATCTTTGCAATTCATCTGAAAAGTAGTCCACCATACAGGATTGTCAGAATACCCGCCCGTGCATAAAAGTGTTTTATCTCAGTCAGATTGATCAATTTTAATGGAAGTTAATGAGAGGGGGGGGAAAGGATGTGGTGTATACATGTGTTGGTAATCACTGCATATCTGCCTATCTGTAGTCATGCTGTTTTGCAGCGTGCTTGCACTGGTCAGACAGTCAAATGCATCACGAGGCAAAGCTGCTGACCACAAGACGGTCCCATGCTGCTCCAAGGCCCAGACGCACAAAAACGCGCAGATACCACATGCAGATACTTACACACCAGGGAGTGGCAGTGCAGATTGAAAAGTCAAGGTCACACCAACAGTTCAAAGTTATAACATGCCTTCGAGCAAGTCACTGACGCCCCAGGCTGCACGTGAACGGGAGCTGTTCTCACATCAGCTTGCTTTATCAAGCTTGCTTTTTTTTTTTTTTCTAAATACAATTTGAAATTTCCTTGATCTCTCACACACACTAAGCACAGGTAGCCCCTCCCCCACCCTCCTTTTAGACCATGGGGTTTGAATAGACCTCAGTGAGGCTATAGGCAAACCAAGGCGATGGGGACTAAGGACACAAAGCATTTATTGTCCCTCTGCATCAGTCTCCACATCAGGCCTTTCAATACCACAATGACCCCAAGCTCCTCAACACACACACTCACACACACACACACACACAGTCTCATACATAGTGGACTGTGGCGCGAAAGTCTTTCAGAAGTCCCCTAATCCCTCTGTCCATCGACATCCCAGCCCTGCCTATGCTCTTTAACAAACACAGAAAGCAAAACGATGCAAATACTAAAAATGCAAAGGCTGCATAAAGCAATCCTTTTGAGATACATTAGCAGTCGCGAGCACGCACATACATGCACGCTGTGGAATTAACTGTGTGATCAATAACAGCAATAAAATTCCATTGGAGAGATCTATGTTAATCCTAAACTAAGTCCTCGATCACCTCCAAACACATGGATCGACTTTCAAACATGACTTTTAATTTGTAAACACTTTTATTTTTAATTTGTCAGAAAAAAGGAAACAGAGGTGACTGTTGATATCTAGAATAATAAATAATAAAATTAAAATTAAAAAAGGCAACTAGCATCTTTTGTTTGTGTGTCTACAGCAAACAAGTTTTTGTGGACAACATTTAATCCAAAGTTTACACTGATAACTGCAACCATCTGAGGAGGTCTACACTGATCTGCATATAAAAGCATTGGGATTGTCATGATGCGCAGTTAAGGTGCAAAGTGCAGGCATGTGCAAGACAGTAGCACAGGACTTGTTGACTACAGAAATGCTGAGCTAATGATTAAGCGCATCACTCCAGCTTTAACTCAGCACACACACACACAGGCTATAAATAAACCACAAATCGCAGTCTTCACAAGCAGCTTGCTTTGCATCAATCATGTCTTTGTTACAGCCTCATCTGCTTAATACCAAACCATTGATAAAATAATAGCTAATCGCCTTAAACAAAATCTAGTGTACACAAGAGGCACTTTAAAAAGTACTTCTCATGAGGTTGCTGTGGGTTTAACTTCCTGCAGGTGTCACTAGGGTTGCAGCAGGCTTTTCAAAGTACAATAATAAGAAACTACAACAGTTTCCAGGTAATACACAATTACTGCTAGTTCCACTGACCCTAAGTATCAACAAAACCTCATGTGATACAAGTCTGACAGGCAATCGAGGTGGAAAAAAAAATGACAATGCACACGTGCAGGGGAGATTCTACCATCATCCACTAACGGCAACTCTCACTGTCACCTTTAAACAAGCTGTTGGGTCATTTGGTGCTACAGTTGTGAAGTCCTGGCCCAGCGGTTACCTGGTAACGGGGTGCAGAGGGTTTTGTTTGTGCTTAGCTGAGGCAGCAGGGAAGCAGTTTGACCACAGGACACCATTAGTTCCGATCAAATCAGAAAGATCATTACGGTTTTGACACAGAGAATCCTTAATGAAGCTGTTAAATCTAAATCCGCTTCAATAAATGGAACGCCGTGGGAATTTTCAGACACAAATGCATATCCTGTCAAAAATGATTAAAACAGTCAAAATCTCTAACCAACCACATGCAGTATTGATAGGGAGATTATTCAAATGCACATTAATGATCAGTATGGAACAAAAAATGTCTTACCCTTCCTTTTGAAGTACTTAATTACAGATTTTAACGAGGTCCCGATAAACACCATTTTTCCAGATCAGCGTATATGTCTCCCTCTTAGAAAAAAAAAAAAAAAAAAATAATAAGTGCCTTTGTTGAGGCTTAAAAAACAACTAAAAAAATCCAAGGAATAACAGAGAAGACGGGATGAAGGCGTGCTGGTGCTCTTCCGCTCACATTCTCACGGCTTGGCTGCGAGTGTACGTGAGCGTCTACTAGGCTGACAATAAGTCTCTACCCCTATCTGTCTCTCTGAACACACACACACACACACACACACACACACACACACACACACACACACACACACACACACACAAATCGTCCGCCACTCCCCCCCTCAGGCAGTTCAGTCCTCGGAGACAAACACACACACACACAGCAGGAGGGGTGTAGGACCGGCCCCTCTGTTCCTCTGTGCTTTGGTTACCAAGGAGTTCTGGCTGCCTTTCCCTTTATTTTTCATTATCAGTCATTCTCCAGTGCTCTCTTTATTATCGCTCTACACTTTCATTCTACTTTGCTCAAAATATAGAAGTTTTTATTAGCGTGTACAGTCACTGTGTTGCTTTTTCGGTTTGTGCATCAATACTCATATCGTTCTTCGCGCAGCTCTTTTTTCACACTTTCCACGGGTGCGCAGCCTCTCAGTGAGGGACTCATCTGCAGAAGAATATTTATGCATGTAATTAAACTTCGAGTTACCCCACAGAACAACCTTGCACATCATCAGGAGGGGGAAAAAAACATGTTGAGCTTTTCACGAGGTACTCTCAGGTGGATGGTGCTTCAAGCAAAGTGCAATGCAAACAGAAAATATAATTGCCTACGGTAAATTACACTCATGCACTGACATTTAGCTCATCTGGTCTCATTTTGCATCTCTTTGTAAAACAATAATCCAAAAATGTGATCATCTACTAATAAGTCAATTTTGCCTTTCTTTAAATCAACATTTCCTCCTCTGATCATTCCCAACCTGCTGTGTATGGCAGTGAATCAGTGCTACATGAATACAGACTTCATACAATCCCCCCATTGTCCAATCTGCTCGCAATCTATCATGCACACACTCCAGCACCCAGCCATTCAAACACACACCCATGCACACACCCATATGGGAAGGAC